CATTCTGTTTTCAGCCTCCAGCTGGTCTATGTTTCCTAAGCACTGTAAGGCTGTAGGAGATTTCCACGTGCCTTCCAGAAGTTTCTGGCCTCCCTCTTCAGCTCCCCTCCCACCTCAGACTTCACCAAATGCCTTATGGGAAAAATCAGTCATGCATTTGAGCACCTCACCACACCTCCCCCCCACCAGCACCAAATCTCCAATTTGTCAGTCCAGTAAGACTAGAAAACCTTGGCTAATATCTCTTTCAAACATAGTAGCAGTCCTCTGCCTCTGCTCACATCTCCAGAGGAAATAAAATAACTGGCGCTCCTCAGTGCAGCTCTGGATATCCTCCCATCTCTGGAACTTCAGTCCAACTGTCCCTCGTTGCTTCCATAGCACTCTGAAGCCTTTAAGAATGCAACTCTTACAGCGTGTTCAGCTTTTTTATACATGTTAGCATCCTCAACCTGATACTGTATTTTGCACTACTAATTACTTTCAATGAATTTCTAAATATGTATAGGATACTGAGTAGTCTTAATATGTTCCAAATATAGTTTAAATGTGCTTTTGAAAGAAAAGCATCAGTAAAACCTCTTACCTCTTCATAAAACTTCACCTGAGGTACAGCTTCATTAATTTCATTCAAACAAAAATCTTTAAATAGCAAGAAACCTAAAGGAAAAAAATAAAAAAATTTCAGGGTGGGCAATTCATTGAAATTTTATCCCACAAGGATGTTTTCAAAGCAATGTGTTTACACCTCAACCTCTTCTTCCCCTACTTTTTTTTTTTTTTTTTTTTTAAGATTTCAAGAAGCTAGTGAATTAATTAATCCCTAGAAGGAAATACTCCAGGCAGAGGAGTACCACATACCTGGCTCCTTGCTTCAGGGTCCCTTCTCTATTCATGTCCCCCACCCTCTTTCTATAAAAGCATGAAACAACAGGGCTGACGTTCACCACCACCACTTGGAGCCGCTGACCACTGCAGGGACCAAAATAATAACCAAATGAATAAGAGGTACAGACGGTATGAAAGCATTGGTGAGAATCCCCAAGATGCTAATAAACACTATGCCCGCTAAAATAGGACCAAACGCCCTAAACACACACACACACACACACACACACACACACACACACACACACACACACCCAGAACTTCCCAAACCTTTCTAGACCTTTCTCTTACCACTCACTCATTATTTCCAAGTCCCTACCAAACACCCAGTGCCAGAGTAGATTACCCATTCCCAAGTCATTCTTCACTCCTTCACAACTACATGGCTCGCCTTTAAACAATCAATGCCATTTGCCTAGAATACCACACACACCCCTTTCTGTACCTTGAACATTCCTAAAATAACCAGAATTGGACTCCAAAGCCGCCTGTGCTACGAAGACTTCTCTGATGAGACAGACCCTATTGCACAATGCCTAGTACACAGTAGGTGGTCAATAAACGTTCATTGAATGAATGTTTGTTTACTTAGCCTTTCCAACATTCTGTCAAAATATTTACCACGCTCGAATTAATTACCTGATTTGTAAGGCTCTCATTCCATTTGAGAACCTAGTGCCTTGCTTAAGGCCTAATGGTCACGCCTAGATAAACAAAGTTGAATAGAACAAGCTGATACCAGACTGGAGATAGAGATACTTGAAGATCATAAATTCCAAAAAGTCAAAACAATTAAACACAGGGTTAGCAAAAACAGAAGTCACAGAAGGGAACTGAAGACTCACGAGGTCTAACATGTAGAGAGGAGGTGGACCAGAATTCCCCAGGTAGGACTCAAAAAGGAAGTAGCTGTGATGAGATTTTAATTACTATTAGCATAAGGCTCTCGTAACTTGAACTGGTCTGTGACTGCTCCACAAATTCCCCCACAGTTCCTGGAACATGACCTTTGAAAATGGTAAGTGTTCGTTCACTCAAACCAGAGTAGAATGACTAAGAGAACTAGTTAAATAGGCACAGCCAGACTTTAGCAGGGGCAGGTGCACACCTGCAGCAGAAGCACGGCCACTCTTATCCCATGGAGAAACTGCAATGACCCCAACGAACACAGGAAGTAGGAAATTCAAGTAGCAGGCAAATGGGAAGGATACACATCTCTATCTGTCTGTATGTTAGTATTTTGAGTTTAAGAGTAATGGCTGTCTCTTCATTTTCATTCATTTCAAAGGAATTCCTAATTTCCCTTGTCATTTCTTCTTGGATCCGTGAGTCCTTCAGAAGGATGCAATTTAATTTCAAAATATTTTGGGATTTTTCAGACATTGATTCCTGTTTAGCTCTGCTGTGGTCAGAGAACACGCTTGGTATAACTTCAATGTTTTTGGTTTTGTTTTGAGATGGAGTCTCGCTCTGTAGCCCAGGCCGGAGTGCAGTGGTGCGATCTTGGCTCACTGCAACCTCCATCTCCCGTGTACCGGTTCAAGCAATTCCCCTACCTCAACCTCCCAAGAAGCTGGGATTACGGGCATGAACCACTATGCCCAGCTAATTTTGTGTGTGTGTGTGTGTGTGTGTGTGTGTGTGTGTGTGTGTGTTTTAGTAGAGATGGGCTTTCACCATATTGGCCAGTCTGGTCTTGAACTCCTGAGCTTGTGATCCGCCTGCCTCAGCCTCCCGAAGTGCTGGGATTACAGGTGTGAGCCACCACACCCGGTCAACTTCAATGTTTTTAAATGCATTGAAACTTTTGGTCTATCTAGGTGAGTGCTGCATGGCACTTGAAAAGAAATGTGCATTCTGTTCTTGTAGGATGGAGTGTTTCATTTAAAAGAATAAAAAGGCAATTAAACCAAGTGGGCTTGATAGACTTGTTCGAGATGGTCCTCTGCAGCAATACAGATGGAACTGAAGTCCATTATCCTAAGTGAAGTCAGTCAGAAATAGAAAGTCAAATACTGCACGTTCTCATTAAGAAGTGGGAGCTTTTAAACAATGGGTACACGTGGACATAGGGCGTAAAATAATAGACACTGGAAACTCTAAAAGGTAGGAGGATGGGAGAGGAGTGAGCCACAAAAAATCACACACCGGGTACAACGCACACTAAAAGACCAGAGTTCACCACTATGCAATGTGTCCATGTAACAAAATTGAACTTGTACCCCCCAAATCCATAAAAATAAAAGATCATCCTCTGAATCTTCACTGAATGTCTGTCTATTGATTCTATCCATTATCAACAGGGAAGTGCTGAACTCTCCATTTGTAATTGTAGATTTGTTCATCTTTTTTCAATGTTGTCAGGTTTTGCCGCATGTACTTCTTTTTCTATTTTTGGAAGAGAAAACTAATATGAGAATTTGAACTTAGGTATTTTGATCAAATTAAAGATGTTTTCAAAATGCCTAAATGACAAAATGAAATAATACCACACATGGACCACTGTCTTTTGACTACACTCGGAATCAAACTGAACCTCTTCACCATCGCCTGCCCCCGCCCTCTGGAGTCGCCATGCCCTCCTCCAGCCCCATCTCCCAGCGCTCCACCCAAGCTGACTTCACTTAGGCCAAGCTTCCGTACTGTAGTTTCTCTAACACCAAGCTCATTCCCTTCTCGGGGTTTCTTGTCAGCTATTCCCACCGCCTCACACACTTTTCGTGGATCTTCAGGCTTGAACAGCTCACTAGTTCACTTCAAATATCCCTTTCCCTGAGGAGGCCTTCATGATTCTCACTCATTCTCAATACCCTGTTCTCTGTCTCTATCTGTCATCCATACACACACACACACACACCACAAAACACTTTGTAGCACTTATGATGACCAAAAATCATCACATGTATATATCTGCTTCTTTACTGTCTACCTCTTCTGCTACAGTATAAGCTGCAATGCATAGGGTGCAGGCGTTTTATTCTCTACTATGTTTGCACAAGAGCATTGACTGTGGCAAAGACAGCTTAGGAGAGAGAACAAAGGAAAAAAGGTAGAAGAGAGAGAATGGGTAGGAGGGGAGGGAGGGAATTTGGGGGAAAGGAGGGAGGAAGAGGACAGAAACGGGAGAGATGAGGGAGCGAAGGAGATGAATGAATGAACACCCAACTTAGAATGTTTTTACCTACTTCTTTAAAAACATTTCCATTGTTGGTTGGTAGAATAAGCCAAGGACTTAGTTTAACATACAACAGGAAAAACAAAATAGTATTGTCCTCCTGTGTGCACATAAACTAAAGCTTTACTTTCTGCCAGCTACTTAAACGGAGCTGCAAAAACAGAGCGACAGGAGGAAAGGTATTTGGCTTTTGGCTAATCCTCGATCACTGTGTCCTCGGCTGGATGCAACTTACCTTCATTAGCCTGAAACTATTACATAAAAAGCAAATGAAGCATAGCTCAGATTAGAGCAAAAAATAAGAGGCAAAAATAAGGAAATACTTTGCCTAACAAGTTCACTTCATCATTGCAATTCCTCCAGGTTTTAAAGAGTAAAAAATAGTGACCTCACACCTGCTTAGTAGATATCTGTGAAATGTGTTTACTTTGTTTCTATATTTGAACCACTGCAAAGTGCTGAATGTTGATTAACTTTTTAGTGCATATAACACCCAGGAAAGGCAAACTATCCCAATTTGCCATCACAATAATGTTTCAAAAATTAGTAGAAAGAATTGTATTGCTTTTTTATAAAATGTGAGTTAAGAGCTTTTGAAAATGTTAAATGTAAGTGATTTCTATGAGAAATTATGAAACTAAATCTCCTAAAAATTAGAAAGGTGAAAAGAGAAATGTGAAAATTTTCTTGCAAGAAATAATACTTGTCCTCAGTTTTTCCAAGGAGGTTAAGATACTAGGAAGGAGAGAAGATTGCATAACTGCTAAAACTTCCTCCCAATATTGACTAATTCTACAAAACATTTACTGAGTACCTACTAAGAGCCACTGTATTATTCACTGAGGACATAATTGTGAAAAGAGTGTTTTTCCAATAAGGGCCTTATGGATAACAAAGAAATAAACAAATATAATTTATGATAAGCAATATAAAGGAATGAAACATTCTGCTGAGATAATGATAAAAAGAGGAAGATGTATTTCAGATAGAACGGTCAGTAAGGCCTTTCTGAGTTGTGAGATTAACAAAATACCATGCATGTCAGATTAGGAAAAGCCGGAATATGTAATCTCACCCCTCTTCCACATTGTACTGGAGGTCTTAGCTAATGCAATAAAGTAAGAAAAGGAAATAAAGATTATTCAAATTGAAAAGGAAGAATTAAAACTGATTCTATGCAGTCTGGTTAGCTGCCTGGCAAGTCCTATCTAAAAGTAACTACTAGAATATGTAAGTAAAGTTAGCAAGGCCACGGGACATAAGGTTATTAGATAAGAATCAGTGAAATTCCTATAAACTCATAGCACACAATTTTAAAATGGAATTTTAAAAACAAGTCAATTTGTAATAACAAAGAACTATCAATACATAAGAATAAATAAGTGACATAAAGACCAGTATGCTAAAAACTATAAAATGTTACTGAGAGAAATTAAAGAAGATCTAAATAGATGGAAATATATACTCAGTTCATGGACTGGAAGATTTAATATTGTTTAGATGTTAATTCTCCCCAAATTAATTTGTAGATTCAGTGCAGTTATAATCATAACTCCAACAGGCCTTTTTAAAGAAACAGACAAGCTGATTCTAAAATATATATGGAAATGCAAAAAACCTAGAATACCCAAAACATCTTAAGAAAGAACAAAGTTCAAGGCATTAACACTATCCAATTTCAAGACTCATGACATAGCCATACTAATCTTAATTAATACATTAGATTGATTAATATGGCTATATGATGTAGTGGCATTAGATTAAATCACTAGAACAGAAACACAGGGTCCAGGAATATGCCCACATTTATACAGCCAATTTAAGTCTTTTCAACAAATGATGCTGAGAAAGCTGATATCCATATGGGGAAAAAGATGAAAGGAATTGTTACCTCACATCTTATAAAGAATTAAATTAAGGATTATCATAGAACTAAATGTGAAGGCTAAAATTATAATGCTTCTTGAATATAAATAGAGTATCTTCGCAGAAAATCTTTATGCAAAAGATTTCTTAGGCAGGGTAAAGAAAGAAATGATAAATTCTACTTTATCAAAATGTAGAACTTCTGTTCATCAAAAGACACCGTCAAGGAAACAGACCAGCCACAGACTGGGATAAAATATTATAAAACCCAAGTTAGAAAAAAATGCCTTACAAATTTGCATCCAAAGAAACAAACAAACAAAATTCTTACAAATCAATTTCAAAAGAACAACTCAACAAAAGAACTCAATGAAGATTTGAACATATCACAGCATGTGAACACTTCACAAAGAAAGGAATATAAACAGCCAGTAAGTCCATGAAAGGGACGCAGCATCATTGGTCATCACATAAATGTAAATTAAACCGCTCTAAGATACCCCTTCTCAACTACTAGAATGGCTAAGTTAAAAGACTGACAACTCCAAATGTCAGCAGGGAGACAAGGCAGCCAGAAGTCGAATGAGCTGCTGAGGAGGACGGACAACGCCTTGGGTCCCACATGCCTCTGAACCAACAGGCTGAGAAGGGAGATCTTGTCCTGGCTGGAATGACTGATCTTGACTGTCAAGGGGATCCAGACTGTAGAGGTCAGGAAGAGCATGTCTGGAATACAGGAGATTTCCTAGGGTATTCCCCACTATTACTATGGCCTGTGATTTCCTAGGGTATTCCCCACTATTATAATGGCCTGTCAAAGGAAAACTATAACCCAATTCAGGCAGGGCTATGAATGGCCCAGACCTTTCAGGAGTAGTGATTTGGGTCATCTCAACAGGTGAAGAACCATGACCTTCTGAAGTGCTTGCTGATGGTAAAGGGAACATGCAATGTAAAGGGAAGAAGGTAGTGAAGAATACCAGCGACAACCATGTGACCAGTTACAGAAATGAGGACTGCAACTGTCATGAGTGCTCCATCCTGAGAGAGAGAGAGAGAGAGAGAGAGAGAGAGCGCGAGCATGTGTGTGTGTGTGTGTGTAAGCAAATATCTTTGTTTTCTTCCCTCCTTCTTGTCCCTTTATCATGTAACAGAAGATATACTGACTTCCTAGTGTAGTACTTAAATACCGTTAACTTTACATGATAGTATTTAAGTTGCAAGACATCAAAGAAAAGAGCAAACATCATCCAAGGACTTTGCATCCTCTTCAGAGAAAAGAGTCAATGCACTTTCCGTTGTACGCAGACTAGGTGGAAGTATCGTGTCAGGTGGAAGTCTGACCTTGTTACTGTCTTTATTTGGAGATTAATCATGGTGTAAGGAGATGTGTATGAGCACCAAGATGACAAGGGGTGGAAGTGTAATGGTTCATTTCATCTTGGAGAGTGCTCCGGAATGAAATTAACATTTAGATCAGTAAACTGTGAGTAAGCAGATTGCTCCCCATAACGTGGGTGGGCTGCAGCCAATCAGCAGAAAGCCTGAATAGAACAAAAAGATCAGACTCCGCAGGGAAGGAAAAATTTCCCAGCAGACTGCCTCCAGACTTCACCTGCACCATCAGCTATCCGGAGTCTCAAGCCTGCCAGCTCACACTGCAGATTTGGGCTTGTCTGTCTCCATAATCACAGAAGCCAATTCCTTACAATAAGTGTCTTTCTGTCTATATACATCCTATTACTTCTGTATCACTGGAGAATGCTGAGTTAAATAGATTTTGAGCATGGTAAAGAATGTACAGGCACTTAGGGAAATAGTTTGAAAGTTTCTTATCAAGTTAAACACACACTTATACAATGCAGTGATTCCTCTATTAGATACTTATCCAATGAAAACATGTATATACAAAAAGACCCGTAAAGGGAATCTTCATAGCAGCTTTATTCATAACTTATCTGAAACAATTCAAAGACCATCAACGGGAGGATAAGCAGACTGTGATATTTTCACATAATGAAATGCTATTCAGCAATAATAAAAAAAAAATTACTGATATATCCAGCATTGTACCTGTATTAGTCAGGGTTCTCCAGAGAAACAGAATCAGTAAGATACATATAAGCAAGTAAGAGATTTATTATAGGAATTGGTTCACATGATTATGGAGGCCGGGAAGTCCCATGCTATGCTGTCTGCAAGCTGGAGACACAGGTGGTGTAACTCAGTACAAGCTCAACGCCCTGAGAACCAAAAGAACCCATGGTGTAACTCCCAGGCCAAGGCCAAAGGTTGGAGAACCAGGAAAAGGCTGCTGGTGTCAATCCTGCAGTCCCTAGGCCTGAGAAACTGGAGCTCTAATGTCCAAGGGCAGGAGAAGATGGATGCCCAAGCTCCAAAAGAGAGAAAGGATGTGCCCTTTCTCCACCTTTCTGTTCTATTCCTACAGGACCTCAATGGATGGAGCAATAGTCACCCATATCCCTGATGGTAGACCTTTTTACCCTGATTCAAATGCTAGTCTCTTCTAGAAACATCCTCACAGACACATCCAGCAATAACGTTTTACCAGCTATCTGGGTAACACATTTAACTTATTCAAGTTGACAACCAAACGTTACCATCACTGTCAATGAATGTCAGACATTACATTGGTCAAAAAGTATATGCTGTGTAATTCTATATACATAAATTCTTGAGCAGGCAAAACTGACCTATGGTTTTAAAAAAATCAGAAAAATGCATGCTTCTACGGACATGAAATTGACTGGGAAGAGGCATGAAGGAACTTTTAAAGAAATGGACACATTCTGACTTTTGATAGAGGTAGGGGTTATGCGGGTCAATACATTTATCAGAATTAAATTATGTACAGTACTATAAGTAAATTTGCCTTTAAAAGGAACTGGAAACAAATATTAACTCTAGCTAGTAGGTTTGCTTTCACAGCAGTATGAGTTAGCAGTTTGGAAACTATTTGCAGTATATTCTAGGCTTACACAAACGAGTAAACACACTGAGGATAATAAGAGCCATTTTGGATAAGAGAGCTAAAACATGGAAAGAGAATGTACACTGTAGTTTTGAATTGGAATGGGAGTACCTACTTGAACTCATTGTTTTTGGTAGGTAGATATGTGAACACATACACATATACACAAACATTTCCTTGCTCTGTTTATAAAGGTCTAGAGCAATGACACACCAACAGCCATGAGCACAGCTAGTGTCCAAATTTAGGCTGCTAAGCACCATTCTCCATTAAAAGCAACTAAGGCTCCTTAGAGAAGAGGCTGATTGATTCTAGGGCAAGGACAATGAATAAATAACAACATGAGCTTTAAACATCTAGAAAGTAAGCAAGCGCTCGTAGGATGATGGAACTATATGAACAGGACACAGAACCCAGCTTGAAAGTGCTCCTACTAGCCAAAACTGGGAACATTTGAACATCAAAAGAAACAAGAGTAATAGTTCATAACCCATTGGATAAATTCAGGATCCATGAGTACATACTGACATAAATAAGCAAATAAATAGGGAGAAGAAAAAGTGCTTTCTCATAGCCAAACGACAATCAGAAACTACGGAATGAATGATGAAATCAGAATGGGTGTCAAAACTAGTGGGTAAGCCTGAATAGGAACAGAATATTTATGTAGTATCAAAAGTAACTCCCCCAAGTTACTTATTCACAAAGGGAAAACTCTCAACTTCCAGTGGAGGATGCTAGCAAACACCCACTTTAAGCAAATGGTCAAAATTAACAATCACCAGACCTGGGACAATCGAACATTGTGATGCTTTGTGAACAACACAACATCTCACCTACGGTCTCCCTGACAAAAGTGCCTAAGATGAATCCTAATTGTTATGAACCACTAAACAAAACAAAAGGAAGGAATGTTTTACAAAATAGTTGGCCTGTATGCTTTATAAATGCTAAGGTCAAGAAAGTAAAAGAAAGCTGAGGGATTTGTCCAGATTAAAGGACACTAAAGGTATGACAAGGAAATGCAGGCACGATCCCAGAGTCAATCCTGGACCAGGAAAAATCATAGCAAAAAAGAGCAGTTTGGGAACAACTGTTGAAATATAAATATGAACTTGGAATTGGATAGAAGTAGTACATCTGCGCTCGATTTCCTGATTTTGAACATTGTACTGTGGTTCTCTAAGAGAATAACCTTGTTCTTAAGAAATACAGGCTGAAACATATAATGATCAAGAGATGTGATGTCTCTAAATTACTCCCCCCAAAAATCATAAAAAGAAAGAATAATGAAACAAATGAGGCAAAATGTATACAAATAATGAAAATGTTTAAAGCAGCGGTGTCCCATCTTTTAGCTTCCCTAGGCCACATTATAAGAAGAATTGTCTTGGGCCACATGTTAAAACGACAACAACAAAACAAAACACACACACACACACACACACACACACACAAAACATGGTCCTGGGCCACAAGTTGGACAAGCTTGGTTTAAAGGGTATATGGAATTCCTCACACTGTTCTTATGACTTTTCTGAGTTTGAAGTTATTTCAAATTATAATTTTAAAATGCACATCAAAATACAAAGTTATAAGAAAAGTGGCAAAATCGCAAAACTCATTTGTGACTAAAATTATTGGGAAAAAGTCTAGAGAAAAATAACTGAAATTTGGCTTTTAACAATTAGAAATTTTATGTGACTTAGAAATGATTGCTGTCAATTCGGCTTTTTAAATATTTATTCCTTTTATAATTAGTAATTTTCAACCCATTTAAAAACTACATATAGACTTTTGCACTGGAAGAAAATTTATAGCACTTTAAATCCTTCAACAAACACAATATAATGGAAATGCTAATATAATTTAACTAGAACAATGTTAATAAGCCTCCTTATAATTAAACTTAATTCTGAGAGGAAACATAAAGGTGTTTCAGTGGAGCAAATCAGTTACATGTTCCAAGAGTTTTCTAGAATATTTTATCCTAACAATTTGAAGATTATAATTTTCAGGTATTTTATTTCTCTATAGTCTTCTGAGTAAAACACCCTAAGCAAGCACACTAACTCCCATATAATTGGAAATTCCCTACATCTTATCATCCAGTATCACAACACACATCATTAGACAGCTCCACTGACCATACTAGAATTATCTCTAAACCAGGATCTCTGAACGAGCATTACACGTTAGAACTTGTGTCTTAACTTTCCATGTGAACAAATTAACAAAATAGGTGTTAGGTTTCTCTAATATTAGCACATTTTTCCAGTTTAAAAGAAAAACCCCTTGGATTAATCTCCAGAAGTTTTTCAACTCTAAGATCCTATAACTCTAAATAAAACTAATCAAATTATAAAGTCATGAATTGAATGGTGAAAAACACAAACATAACTAATAATCAGGAAATCAAAGAGAAGAAAATGAAATGGACAAAAACCAGCTGGTTAGTGAAAGACCTTAAAAGCCAGGGACAAACACCTGGAGAGTAATATGAAGGTCTAAGAACAAAAATTAAATTATCCAAAGAGCAGATAGATCATCAACACTCACCATAATCATGCTGTATGGAAGGATAAGAGCCCTAATAATCAAATAATCAAATTATTTTAATGCACTTTCTTATAAAGTTTCAAGTCCAACCAACCAAAAGCATTAAAATAAAACATGAAAAACCAACTATTTAAAATATTACCTTGAAATACACAATCAACCATTTTGCCAAGAGACAATGGATTCAAAAGAGCCCTAAATTATAATTTGCTTGAGAAATAAATTAGTTAAATAGAGTTATTCATATATTTGGTGCACATTCCCTATTGATATTTTTATTTATTAGTACTGAACAATGGGAAAATTAAACTTAAGCAACAGAATAATTAATAATAACACACAAAAAAAAACCAACACTTAGGAACAAATCTAACCAGATACATGCGTGATTTGTATGCTAAAAACTACAAAATGCTAATGAACAAAATCGGAGGTGATCCAAATAAATTAAGAGAAATATCATGTTCATGGACTGGATTGGAAGACTTAATATTGTTAAGATGGCCATTCTTCCCAAATCGATGTATAGACTTAGCATGATCCGAGTCAAAAATCCACCAGAAATTTTTGTAAAAAAAAAAAAAAAAAAATCAATAAACTGATTATAAAATTTATATTAAAAATGCAAAAGAACTAGAATAATAAACTTTTTGAAAATAACAAAAAGGATTCACACTATCTGGTTTCAAGATATATTACAGGCTGGGCGCTGTAGCTCACACTTGTAACCTAGCACTTTGGGAGGCCGAGGCAGGTCGATCACTTGAGGTCAGGAGTTCGAAGCCAGCCTGGCCAATATGGTGAAACCCTGTCTTTACTAAAAATAGAAAAAAGGTTAGCCAGGAGTGGTGGCAGACACCTGTAATCCCAGCCACTGGGAAGGCTGAGGCGGGAGAATTGCTTGAACCTGGGAGGCAGAGGTTGCAGTGAGCCAAGATCATGCCACTACACTCCAGCCTGGGCAACAAAGCGAGAATCTGTCACAAAATAAATAAATAAATAAATAAATAAACACATAGATCAATGAAACAGAGTATAGTCCAGAAATAGATCAACATATACCTAAGCAACTGATTTTTCACCAAGGTGCAAGGATGATTCAATGAGGAGAAGAAAGCCTTTTCAACAAATGGTGCTGGAATGACTGAACCTCTCTGTGGTTCTGAACCTTTCTGTGGTTACACAACATTCTTTACTAATGAAAATAAGGGAAATTGTAGTTGACAAATAAAAAAGCAAACTCATAAAGAAAGAAAAAAAGCATACAGATATAAAACCTGAAAACTCCTGTAAGATGTCATCCATACTGGCTGGGGATTATTAACTTACATTCCCAATGAACAATTCTCTGCTTTTTTGCTTCCAAGTTCCAATAGGAGCAAAAAAACATAAATCAAAGTGAGTAGTCAGTTAACAATAATCATCTATTCTACAGAAGCCTTAAATATATTTTTATTTAACTCTACTTTTCAAAGTGGAACTTTTACTTCTTGGCTTAAAACTTGACAGGAGAAGAAAATAATAAATGAAATGTCATTTGGTAATATTGTAAATAGGTGGATCTTCTTCTAAAACCCAAGTCCTCAATCCTGCCCCCAAATTAAATTCAACATACATGTGTTCTTCCAAAATATCAACAAAATATTCCTAGATTAATTAATGGGATCATTCATAGATAATGCAGAGATTCTGAGCCGTGAATATTAAGAGTCCAATAGACAAAAGCACAAATTGAAATGAATGTGGCCAAAGAAAAATTCATGGAATGTTCTAAGCAATTGGCTCTTAACTCAGAAAGGAACAGCGCGAACTGGGACTGGGAGAGAAATGTAAGAATGTAGTGGCGAGAAAATTCTATCAACTCCTTCCAGTGGTTGGATTGCTTTCAGCCTTTTAAAACCATTATATAATGACAGAAAAGTAAAAATTTCTGACTTTGCCACCAGGCTAATACTCCTCTCCAGACTGCAGTCATTTCTGTCATTCATCACAGTTCTCTGCACAGCATACAGTAAACAAACTGACTGTTAAAGTAAGAGAGATTTAAAATAATTTAAAATGAAATCGAAATATTATTCAAATAAGACATATGACTTAAACATTTTCCAGAGACTTCTCTAAGAACGAATATTACAACTGGTATTACGGAAATCAGGGTCTGAGTATACAGCACAAATTATCCATCCACCTCTCAGGACAAAATGGGGGCGGGGAGGTTGTAAATATGCTCAGTCTAACCATAATGTTAACAAGGAAGAAACAGAATAAGAGCCAACTAATCGATACACATGAGTTTGCTTTGTGATAATTCATCTGGCTATGAACTCATGATTTCAGCACTTTTCTATATGTATGTTTTATTAAATCAATAAAAGTTTATTGAACACAAGAGAATCAGCCAGTATTTATGGCATGATGCTATACTGTAAAACGAAGGCATCCTCAATGCAGTTGTCATCTAATTGGAGAGCCTGAGAGCTACACACAAAATGATGGCACTTACTTGTCTTGTATTAAGTGCCAAATTCACGTGGTAGAGGAGAAATGCTAAAACATGTTGCTTCCTTAGATGACGGCACCGGCATCCTCACTAAGCTCCCAGCCACCTGCCATCCTTCCTTCCAATGCATCCTTCATGCTACTCACATCAGATCTGGATCTGATCACGACACTTCCTTGCTTTGAAACTTTCCATGGGTGTTACAGAGGATGTTGGATGAGACACTCATGCTATTGCAATGCACACCACGCTCTGTCCCTTACCTCTACCATGCAAATGCACTGGCACGGACCCGACCTGCCCACCAACCCGCCAGGTATCCCTTACGACTTACAGTCCCTTTGCACATAGTTGGGAGAAAAGACGTCTAAGTCATCATTGACTTCTTAACCGCCCTGGCCCACAGGTGACATACCCCACTTTTCTGAAAAGATGGCAGAAACTACTCACAGTGGTTGGCTGGGGGGTGATGGTGGCTCCAGAGGGTTCCAGCACCCACAGCTCCACGTACCGTATTAACCTATTTACCGTAAATCCCACCTCTGTATCTTCACATGGACTCCTCCATCTCAGCACCCACCCTCTGTTCACCAATCCCCTAGCAATTCTCTGCCATCCACTCGTCTACCCCCTTTCCCACAAGCCTCTTTTCCTCCAGGCTTGACCTGGTGAACGCCCACTACACCTTTAGGACTTCAAGCAAGCACTACAGAAAGCAGTAAACTTAGAAAGGCCGCTCCCCCAGGTGAGGCAGAGTTGCCCCTTCTATGCTCCCATAGCACTGGGGTTTTTTTTCAGAGCATGATCCAATTTTATTACAATTATTTTTTTTTATTTTATGAATGAATAATATGGTTCAAAATTGTTAAAATATATTTTAAAAGTTTTCCTCTCTTTCCTGCCCTTTGTTTGCCCAGTCATGTACCACCACCATCACCCCCAAGGCACCTGCTGTTACTATTTTCTTCCATCTTTTCAAGGAAGTGGGGGATGTCACCACTGGGCCATGGTTGTGAAGAAATCAATGTGACAGCTCTCTGCAAGGGACTCCAAATCCTAAGGGACACCAGTGCCACAAGATGGAAGAGCTCAGTGTATGGAGAAAAGCCTCACGCTGATCTGTAACAACCTCTTACAAATGTTACGGGCTTGTGACAACCTGTGTGACAAGCACTGTGACCAAATGCGGAAGAACATTCCCTGTGTACACCCCTGACATTCTGGAGTTTCCTTGTTACGGGTGTTTGTGTTACCTTCGAATACAATATAAAAGCAAGTGCAAATATGAACTCTAATTTTCCACCGTACTTGATACGCACTGTCAACATCAGCCTTTTTTCCAAAACACTGTGCCTTGGAGATCTTTCTCTACCAGGCAGGGGGAGCTGCTTGATTCCCTTTCACAACCACACGGCAGTCCATCTTACAGCACAACGTAATTTACGTAGCTTGCTCTCCAACGATGAATATGTGGGTGGTGCCAAATATTTTGCTTTTACAAATCTGCTGCAATAAATCCCCCTCTACAGGCATTGTTTATCATGTATTCAGGAACACTTGCAGGATACCTTCCTCAGAGTAAAACTTGTAAGTTCATGGGGACGCCTTGTAATTTCAGTAGGCACGGCCTCATCAGCCTCTGCTGGAGCGGCACCTATTTATACTCCCACCAGCAACGGAGAAAGATGCCCAGTTTGAAACCCAATGCCACACCAAAAGTGGGTTCTTTAACTCTGGGCTTTTTATCAATTTGAAAGATAATAAAATAACATTTCAGAGCAACTTTGTGTTTCTCTTTATTTTTGAATAACACTGAAGATCTTTTCTTAGGTTTAAGTTCCATTTGTTTCCCCGTTTTAATGGCCTGTCTCTCAATAGCCTTTGCCCATTTTTACCCTGGGTGATGGGGCTTTTGATTAGAAGTTTCTAGGGCCTTTTTCGATATTGAGAAGTGCAAGTCAACACTGTTGCTCAAGGAATATTCCGGCTGCCCACCTCTCAGGTACTTGGTCGGGCCCACGTGAGGGATCCGTGTGCCAGCTCCTGGTTCCTTGTCCTTCCTGGCATGGATAGAAATACCCCTAGCACTCTCCTCTTAAATATGACACTGGCCTTTCAAATAGACAGCTTGCATCACGTTAAGGAAAGACATCTCTTCCAAGTTTAGTAAGTAGCGGCGGGTTCCTCATTTGTCTCGCTGACTAGGCTGTGGGCTACAAGAGGGAAGTGGTCCGTTTTTGTTTATTTTTCTCTGTAATCCCTAGCACAATGGCCAGTACTTAATCGGTTCAATGAATGCTGGATAAATTTACTTAAGGGAATATCAGCACGGTTGTGGCGCAGCCACAGATGGTTTCAGGAAGACGTTAAGTGCAAGCTAGACTTGGAGAGATTAATGAGCTACAGAGGGTCAGGGGAGAGAATGAACCAGCACTCAGAGGCAGGAAATGTAGCTTGAGGTAAGGAAAGAGTGCGACTTCAATTTAAGCAGAGCAAGTTCCCACAGGGAAGAGGTGGAAGGTATGCCTTATTACGTCAAGGAGGCTCAGGGAGGGGTGGCCTTCAGCCTCCAGGCTAAGGGATCCCGACTCAGGAATTCCGATACTCACTATTTATCAGTTACATAATACTCTGCTTGCTGAAAGCTTCGAATGCCAAAAGGCCTGCTGGGGAATCGTTTTTGGAAGCGGGCAACTGTTTCATAAAAAATAAAAACTCCACTCTTGAGTCCAGCTCTGAGGATTTTAGAGCAGAAATTCTTTCTCCCCAACACGGAGTCCCAGAGCGAGGCTGGAGGCCGGTGTTATGCATTTTTACCCCTTCTCCTTCCCCAGGGCACTCTGCAATATGATGCTTACCTGCCATGACACCTGTCCCCAGATGACCCTTGCATCCTCTTCCCTGTCCCTCACCTAAAATAGGTACTTGGTGTCAATACCCACATACTAACAGTGCCTGCCTACCTCCACCCCACTGAATATTTCAATTAGAATGTGAAGATGTTATCAAAAGCCTTCAAGACTCAAAAGACTAAACGGGTAATAGTGGAACACCAGGTGGTATGGGTGCCACTGCCAACCCACTGGGGGTGCAGGTTAGCCCTGACTGTGTACTGATCTTCACACCTGCAACCTGCTGCTATGCCGCCCCAACCAGCTTGTGGCTGAAGCTGCTTTTCATATTTACTCTGAAATCTAAAGCATACAAAATAACTACTTGCTAGAGCAATCAGGTGCTTTCTGTGATTATTTTGCCCAATTCCTTTTAACTTACAATCAACTGAATATAGTAATGTGTCAATTACATAACAGAGGTATTTTTTTTAAGTCATCTGGTAAGTTGTGAATACCTCTAGTGAGATTTCACTCTGAATGTTTTAAAGGGAGTAATACCCAGTGCCTTAATACCATCCCAGAAGTGGAGATATCTCCAGTGGAAATCAAGTTGGCTCAATCAGTGAACACTCCCCCCAACTCCCTGTGTACAAGGGAAGGGCACGTGGAAACAGCTGCTACTCCCTGATCCCTACTGTAAACAGCTGCCCAAAGGATCCCTCCGTTTCCAGATATTCATCCTATCACCCATTCCAACAGTGCACAGACATCTGCAAGTCCTCTGGTAAGACCGCTTGGAGGTGTGTGGAGTAAGACTTCACACTAAGAGAATCATCATCTAGTACACACTCTTTATGTCAAACGCTGCAAATAACAGTTTGATGCTAACGGCAGTTGAAATCATTGTGTGTGGAAACAGAAAGTCAACCAAAAAAGAAGAGTCAGTTCCTCAGATGTGCAAAATACTGAACGAGAAGCTTTAGAATCACAAAGAGAAAACAGCGTCAGAGATGAGCTTTGATCTCATGGATCAGTTGGGAAAATTAAAGAAGCACCTCATAGTACTACATTTTCCACAATAAGTGCCAAATGAATGCCACAGACAATGAGTAGAACAGGAACATCAGAAGAGATTATTCATAGTCAGAAATCAGGGTTTTAAGCTAATCCTTGAATGGCGAATCTTTGAGAAGAGCATTCAAAAGAAGGCCTTCCACAGAGGGAGGCAGGCTGTGTAAGCAGATGTGGGGTGCCAGAAGCATGATGCATGTCCACAATGAACGCTGAAATTCACAATGAATGCTGAAATTCACAATGAAAGCTGAAATTTAAAGATGAGGGAAAAAAGATGGAGGCAAGTTCTGGGTGACTGAGTGACAGTAACCAGCTAACTGCACCCTGCATGGGGGCTTAGGAAAGCTTCAGAATGCAATCACACTGTGATGAGACCAGGTTGTCAGACTGCCAGATAACAGAAAAAGGGCTGCAGATTGGAAGTGCCTGATCCTGACACCTGGCCAGAGGTTACGCTTCCAAGCAAAAATGAAGTTTAACAAAAGGGCGACTGAGTGCAGTGGCTCACACCTATAATCCCAGCACTTTGGGAGGCTGAGGTGGGCAGATCACGCGGTTCGGAGATCGAGACCAGCCTGACCAACATGGTGAAACCGTCTCTGCTAAAAATACAAAAATTAGCTGGGAGTGGTGGTAGGCATGGTAATCCCAGCTATTCTGGAGGCTGAGGCAGGAGAATTGCTTAAACCTGGGAGGCAGAGGTTGCAGTGAGCCGACATCGCACCACTGCACTCCAGCCTGGTGACAGAGGGAGACTCCATCTCAAAAAAAAAAAGGCGCGGGGGTGGTGGCTGGAGAAAGAAAAAATGGGATGGCCAGTTAGGAAGGTCCTGAACTATCTGGGTCAGGGTAATCATGGCATAACTGAGGTGGCTGTGGTGGAATTGGAAGATGATGGGGCAGAAGAGACAAGGACGGGAAGGCATCAGCGAGGCTTCAGAGCTTTGGATCCTGGGCAGCTTGGAGAACAGTGGTGCCATTAGAGTCAAGAGAAAGGAAGGAAAGGGCACCAGGCGTGTGTGCGCGTGTGTGTGTGCACGTGTGTGTGTGTGCACGCATACAGGTGTGTAGGTTTCTTAGTTTGCATTTTCCTGGTCAGGGAGGAGGTGACTGGTGAGGTACTGGATCAGATCGTTCATTATGAAATGAACCACGACACTGAAACGCGCTGGCTCGCTCAGGCTGCACCAAAGCTGTGGCATCAGGTAGGTGCAGAGGTTACTTGTGGGAAGGGACAGGTGCAAACAAGGATGCAGGAGACAGAGAGGAGCACAGCGAGCCAAAGGCAGGACCTGGCAAGGTCCTGGGAACTAGGAAAGGCTGATTCCATCACAGCCACTGCATCACTCTGTCTCATCATTTCATCTTTCTGCACATTAGCTAACTCCTCTCCTTCCATAGTTTTGAATAATTTTTAAAAATATGGCCGAGCACAGTGGCTTACATCCGTAATCCAGCCCTTTGGGAGGCTGAGGCAGGCAGATTGTTTTGAGCTCAGGAGTATGAGACCAGCCTGGACAACACGGAGAAACCCCGTCTCAAAAAATACAAAAATTAGCCATGTGTGGTGGTGCGCACCTGTGGTTCCAGCTACTCAGGAGGCTGAGGCTGGAGAATCACTTGAACCCGGGAGGCAAAGCTTGCTGTGAGCTGAGATCGCGCCACTGCACTCCAGCCTGGGTGACAGAGCAAGACCCAGTCTCAAAAGAACAAAAAGAAAGAAAATATGCTTTATAGAATGTATTTATTCCCTTAAATTATAGAAACTTTGTACACACTTACCTCAGACTATGGCACTGAGCTTCTCCTTGAGTCTTCTCTTCCCTCTCCCCACATTTACCAGCCAAGCCATTCAGTTCTGGCTCCAGAACACATCCCAGGCCACGCATCCTTGCATTTCTGCTGCTCTTACTCTTAGAAAAGCCACCTTTGGCGACTTCCTAAATGGGACAGGGGTCTCCAGATTCTTCTTCCTGTTTCTATGCTCCTACTCTGACCCCAGCAATTCATTCTTCATAAAGAGGCGAGAATGATCTTAAAACACACATCGATCTGGTCAGAACCCACCAGAGCTTCCCGTTATACTCAAAACACTGGCTCCTGTGCACCTCCCTATCTCCCCACCTCTCTCTCATCGGGTGCTGCCCATGTTGGCCTTCTGGCAGTTTCTGAAACACACCGAGCTCTCTCCTGTCCCGGCTGATGACGATCCTGCTCCCCCGATGACATCCTCAAAGAAACGTCTCCTAAATAATTAGCCTAAGTAAGCGCTACTCGGTCTCCTTCCTTTCCCAGCTCTTCATGATCCCACTGCACAGCAGGTGCTAGGACCTGGCTGACACCCTCACCCACTGAGTGGGCTGATCCCTGCATCCTGCCCAAGGTCAGTGGGATGGGTGGCCGCTGGGATGGGTGGTCGCATTCCAGAGCCTGCTGCACCCCACAAGCTGTGTGGTTCTACCAGCTCACTTCCTGCCAGTGTTCCTTAGTTTCCTCATCAGGCAAATGAAGGGGCTGGACTGCATAAATTCTGGAGTTTCACTCAGGCCTAACATTCTGTGGTTTCATGAATTCAAGTGGGGTCAGTTTTGGTTTCCCTTGCTGCTGGTGATCTTACTGCTATTTTGACAAAGAGAGAATTCAAAAAAAAAAAAAAAAAAAAGGCAAAGGATGTCAACAGGACACAATTGGAAAAACTGGTTATTTTACCAAGGCCTTAACTGAAACAGTGTGTTTCCCTTTAAGGAATCAAGCTTAACATGCAGAGCCAATAAAAGCCCCTTGGGGAGAACTGGCCTCATACCTTGTCTACACAGTCCTTGCACAGGGTTCCTAACCTGTGATCAGTAAAGACAGTCACTTTTCTAACAGGTCTGGGAGCTCCGAGTTTATCTTGGGATCTCAAGAGGAGAGGATCACCCAATTCACAAACCCATGGCTGGGCTTGACTTTAAAGGTCTTATCTAAGATTCCCTGTGGGCTGGGCGAGGTGGCTCACATCTGTAATCCCAGCACTTTGGGAGGCCGAGGCAGGCAGATCGCCTGAGGTCAGCAGTTCGAGACCAGCCTGACCAACATGGAGAAACCCCGTCTCTACTAAAAATATAAAACATTAGCTGGGCGTGGGGGAGCACACCTGTAATCCCAGCTACTCAGGAGGCTGAGGCAGGAGAATCGCTTGAACCTGGGAGGCGGAGGTTGCAGTAAGCCGAGATCATGCCATTGCACTCCAGCCTGGGCAACAAGAGTGA